ACAGTTAAATTTTTTTTAGTGTTAATCAATAATAATACAAATTCTATAATTAATTTTATAATTTCAGATTAATCTTGATATCCAAAATTAAGGTAAGAAGAATATGAATTGAATTGAAGGGATAATGAAGATTGTGAAATGAAAGTATTATGAATATATAAAATTGTAATAATGATAACATTTATTATATATATTTACATTAGAATTAAAAATTATCATTTACGGATTTTTTTTAATGGTTTTAAACTTATTAGAATTATTTAATTTCTAGTTATTTACAGGCAACAATAGTTTTGATTATATGTATTGATGTATTGAAGTACTACCATGACGAGTCTTATAGAACAATATACACGTCAATGAGATAGAGGTAACATTTTACCTATAATGTTACTAATATAATATATTTTGATTATAATGTTTGTATCATAATTTCTTAAAAATATAGTGGATTAATAGCAATTTTTAGACATATATTTTATCGAAGATTGTGTTGATAAGACTAAAATAAGCTGAATAAGCTTTATGTTTTATCATTTTCTCTTTAGAAGGGAGATGGTTTGTGTCGTAGAATACATTACTGTATTTAATATCGTGTACTTTGATATTCTTTTCTTAATTTACTGTAATTTCTTGTTTCCTATAATGCCAAATCTTGACAATATGGTGAAGGTTGAGTTTTGATCTTATTAGTTTTATCCTTTTATCAAAGATAATTCTACTACTTGTGTTAACTATAATATTCTTTGGTTTTATACCTATGTTTATACAAGACCAATTTAAGACTTAGTTAGTTTGTGATTTATATTAAGATCTTTCTTATAATATTTGTTATGTCTTAATCTTAATACTATATTATGCTTTTGTCTGGAAAATAAATGTTAAAATATCTTAATTTTGCATATCCTATTCCATATCCTTCCATTAGAAAAAATATGGTTTATAAATCATATATGCTAAGAAAATCACATAAATTACTTGTAAGGTAAGAATAGAGAAATCTTAAGGTAGCAGAAAAATAAATAATAAGCAGAATTAAACAAGGTAACTGTTAATTAATGTTGCTGAAGCTGATTGTACAATTTTAATTACGGAGGCTGCTAAAAGGTCTTTTAAGGCCTCCGTAGTTTTGATGTAATGTTAAAAAAAACCTAATATGAACATGACATGGAGCTACAGCATTTAAAAATTAAAAAAAAAGAAAAAACTTGGACACGTCCCTTTTAATTTCCCGAATTTTTAATAAAACACTTTTTAAACGTAGCATAATAATCTAGAGCAATTAGATTAATTATGGGAATCTAGAGTTTTATTTCTATATAATTTTATTGACTATGAAAATACATAATAAGCGTTCACGTGTTGTGCGAAATATTAAAATAATATACCGCGTACTATGATTGAAAAAAAAATAGCGTCAGCAATGATTATGAAATGAAGATCGCTGTCATTTTATGGAAATGTCTTCAATCGTCATTTCCCAGCCAACTGGACGCCGTTTTTTCGATCATACGGTATATATTGACAAAAAAAACACTAAAAAGCACATATTTGTTTTCTACTGAAAATAATTCCAAAATAACTCGCAATCTGACAACATCGAAGATGTGCGCATGCGTAGTGTCTGTGACTATATGCAGCAAAAACTCGTTTCAAGGTCAGCCACCGGATCCACACCATTACCAAAAGAAATATTCAAAAAATCTGAACATAATATTTAGATCGTTTCATTCCTCTCTCAGTTTATTGACTAATGTTTAAGAAAAAAAGTGCCTCAATGAAGAATAGGCTTTTACCTAGCTTTTACATGTTTATTTTTTTTAACGTCAAAGCATAGTGTTAACGTTGTTTTTTCCTTCAATGCACATGGTTATAAAAAATAATTTACACGTCCATCCCTGTCTGGTAGCACTCTCAAAAGCGAGTTCTTAATCTGTGGATAATAGTGAAATGTTCTGTGGGTGCACAGTGGGTAAAAATCGAATTAAGGTTAATTTTTGAACCAGTCAGCTGGTGGTCAGCTGCCTGTAGCTGCGTTCGACATTACAATCGCAGATGAGGGCGGGCAGAGGCCGAGTTAAATCACGTGATTGCGGAGTACTCAGATATGCGATTTTGAAGACGAACGTTTTCGGAGCTGTCAGAGCCTTTCTGTTCAAAAATACTATAAATATAACCTATTTTCTGTGTGGTTCGGTGATATAACCTCAATTAAGAAAAAAAAAAGAGAAAAAGACTTTCCATTTAAATCTGCCTAAAATGGATATAAACACAGACCAGGCAATAGGTCTGATGTTAAATTTTGCGAACAGTATATTTTTTGACAGCAGTGATAGTGAAACAGAAGTAGAAAGAGCTCCAAGGGTACAACAATATGCTGAAGAAATTGTGCCACGACTTTCAGATAATACATTTAAATCTCATTTTAGAATAAACCTTTGTACATTTGAAGACTTACTTGGCAAGTTATATAGCGTTTCTGACTCCACAGTTCATTGTGGAACAGTGCCTGTGCCACTTGATAAGCAACTTATGGTTACAATTTGGTGTTTGGCAAACTTGGAGTGTTTTCGGTGAGTTCTATTCTCAGAGTTATATCAGAGGCAATATGCAACTTTTATTAACCATGGTAAAATTCAAACCTTGTTTTAGATCTGTAGCTGATCGTTTTGGGATCAGTAGGAGTACTTGTTGGAGCATTTTATACAGAGTTTGTAATCTACTGCTAAAAGTAAATAAGAAATTTAAAATTATTTCTTGGCCAAGTCAAGTAAGGGCAGAAGAAATTGAAAGGGAGTTTAGGGCCATTAATGGATTTCCAGGTAATGTTAATTTGGTTTTCAGTTAATTAGTTATGTTTCATCTAAATGTTTATAGGAATAATTGGAGCAATAGATGGGTCCCACATAAGGATTCTGAAACCAAAAGAAAACCCTAACTCATACTGCAATAGGAAGAGCTACCACTCAGTTTTATTGCAGGGGGTATGCGACAGCAAAAAATTATTCTTGGACGTTTACGCAGGGGAACCTGGGTCTATACATGATATGCGTTTATTTCGAAAGTCAGACCTTAACTCAAGAATAAGAAATGGCTCTGTGATAATTTCAGAAGATCATCATCTTATTGGAGACTTGGCATATAAGTTGTCACATTATTTACTGGTTGGTTTCAAAAATAATGTAGTTTTAACCCCTGCCCAAATTAATTTCAACAACAAACTGTCACAATGCAGAGTAGTGATAGAAAATGCATTTGCTCTTCTAAAGGGCAGGTTTCGTCGTTTAAAGTCTTTAGAAACAACTAGATTGGATCTAATCCCACTAATTATTGTATCAGGAACTGTTCTTCATAATATATGCATATTAAATGGAGATCTACTGGAAGATATTGCAGATTTACAATTGGAAGAAGAGATTTTAATTGAGGAAAATGTTTATGCAGTTGTTGATGATGTAAGAGAAGATTTGCAAGCAGTTCGAAAGAGGAATAATATAATGAATGCTCTACTAATGAATTAAAACATTATAAATAATAAAATTCTATAAGGAAATACCAATTTTGTTTTATTAGTATATTTTCCTTTCTTGGCACTTATAATATATTAGTAAAAAGCAACAGAAACTATTATTTTTAATTTAATTTAACAAAATACAAACATATACATACAAAATGTACAAAAATATAAATACTTATTAAAATGTAAACAAATTATTTTATTCTTGCTTTCTATTGCTTTGTTGGCTCTGTAATATATCAATATATTTTTGAAATAGGTTATTAAAACAATCCTGTCTCATCATTTTTTCTTTATGTCTCCTCTCTATGCTGTTAGACCTGGCCGAAGATTTTCTCTTTTTAACAAAATTAGAATCTTGTAGTGTCTCCTCATTTTTATCTTCTTCATTATCAGTAGCACTCTTCTTGAATATCTTTTCTCCTGACTTATTTACTTGCAATCCAGAGCTGCTGCTGCAAGTAGCAACTGGCAATATTTCTGGTTTCTTGAAGAGAACAGCATGCATTGCATCAAAGAACTCCCACTTTCTTCTTTGCTTGCCTGAAGTATTATTGTGATCTACAATTTCACGATATATTTTTGTCAGTCCTTTCCATTTGGTTTCACATTGCTGCCAAGTTAAGGTAGTTCCATGTTCCTCGTTAAGTTGGGAAGAAATTTTTGTCCAAATATGTTTTTTTACACAGGTTTGAAACTGTTCATCTCTTTCACTAACTAAATTGATGAAATATAGAGTTAAATCTCTGGTCCACAATCTCTTACATTCTTGTATTGAATTTGTAGAACAACTTGAATCAGTTGGCGAAAGAGGACTTTTTTTATCGAGGAGTTCTAAAGTTGAGTTATTAGCTTCTATATCTTCATATTGCAAATTTATAGGTTCATAGGTACTTTCTACAAATACAAGTATAAAAATAATAGTTAATTTAGGTATTTCGGTATTCTTACCTTTTTTATTGAAAATATATGTTTCATTGTTTATTTTATGTATCTCTGTATTTTCATCCAGAATTTCAATCACGGATACTACAGCTTCCTCCATTTTTATCTATGAATCTAAGTTAAGAAAAAAACGTTTCACCGTGGTATTAAAATCTCGTATAAGTAATTATTCATATGCTGTTATAATGTAAAAACCAAACTTTGATCTGCTTTAAGTCCCGGCCACATATTATTCCCGGCTTTAGTTCACATTTGAGGTTATATTATTGGATTATTGCCATAAATCGACCGGATCGACAAACTCAAACAAATTTCCCGCCTTTTTTTCGTTGGAGCTCGATAAGCTCCTTCAAATTATCCGGAGGAGATCGAGCCCGCTCGGACCCGCCATTGAATAACCGGAAACGGAAATGAAAATTAAGCCATCATGTCCTTATCATGTCAACCTGTCAATTGGAAAATTAGTTCTCCAGACGACAACGAAGGCTTTCGGTGGCGTATCGTGTTTCCACGATTTAACACAGAGTTGACACTTCTTTCTAGTTAATTATTTTATGAGTGTCCCAAGTTAAAAGTTGTTTGTTGTGATCGGGTGTTTAAGTTGTTCATTGTTAACCGCTTCATTCTTCAAGAAACAATCCAGAAATATGGCCTTTGAATACAACACGGTATTTAAACGGGGTACCAGATTAATATTGGAGCTAAAAAGTCAAGAAATCTATGAAGGTACATATGTGGACGGTGGCAAAAATAGAATAGTGTTAAATGATGTTATTCAGCACAATAATAACAATAAATTAGGAGATTTGTACGAATTTTATCGAAATGAAATTGCGGAAATTCGTATGTTAAAGCTGCCAGCTACGAAGATCGCCGAACCCCCAAAGAAAAACGATAACAAAGAAAAATGCAAGTTAATAAAAATATGCGAAGAGGATTACTTTCGTCTGAAGGAAACATGTAGGAGTTATATTTTTATTGAAAACGCCGATAAAAGGTATTTTGAAGCTATGAAAGTGTTAAACGATGCAGAAACTATTGGGGTTGTATCTTTGGGTATGGAAAAAAATAGGTATGGTAGTTTTATAAGGCTTCTAGTTTTATGTACCTGGAAACAGGTTTATATAATTGATTTAATAAATGTAGAAAAACGAGAGTTATATCCAGAAATTAAACAGTTATTTGAATCGGAATATATTTGTAAAGTTATACATAAAAGTTCTGGAATAGTAGATATTCTTTATAGACATTATAATGTTTATATGCAAAATATTTTTGACACACAAATTGTAGACTTAAGTATCCAGAAAAAACAATCAGGTTCTTGTCCTCCAGTAGAAAGAAATTTGTCAGAATGTTTAATGCATTACTTAAATCTTCCACAATCAATAATTCAGCATGCTCTTGAAGTTCCAAATAAAAAATGGAACGAGCGACCAATTAATGACAAACTAAAATTATACGGTTCCCAACTTGCTGTTTACCTCATTGTTTTAAAAGATTATTTACAGAAATTGTTACTTAAAGATGTATTTGAACTTACAACTAAAATTCAAGACTGTGTATATAACTCAGACGATTTCGAATTTTCAAATTATGTGAGCAAAAATGAAGTTCCAAAAAAGATTCAAAAATTAGTTGAGTCTTCAAATACATCTAACAGTACATAGATTGTACCATATGATTGAAAAAAAGGCGTCCGGTTAGTCTGAAAATGACGATCGATGACATTCTTTTACATACATATATATTGTATAATGACAGCAAACTTCATTTAGCATAGCCATCGCTAACGCCGTCTTTTTTTTTCGATCATATTGTATTTGTATATAGATTGTATATTTTTAATTAAGTCTTTGAAGTAATAGTTATTCTAATTTTATAGATGTAAAGATTATACTAGAGGCCAAAGTGTAGAAAAAATAATTTTTACTAAAGTTTAAATATGAGCTTCAATATAGGCTTAAGGGGTTTAGGATAATAAAATTGAAAGGAATATCAAATGAAAAACATTTTCAAGAATTTCAAAACTAAAGTAGTTAATATTAAATATTTGGACTTGACTTCCCACTTGCCCTACTAGGTTTATATTTTAAATACATTGTTATTATGTTTGGAAGCATTCTTGTTGTTATATTTGTAGTACTTTTTATACTCAGTAGCATCTACCTGCTTGTGTGATATACACTACTTTATATGTAATGCTGTTTTATAATCTATTTTTTTTTTTAATTTTTATGTTTTTGAAAATATATACAGTTTTATATGTATAGTTTTTTTGTTAATATATAGGCCACTAGGGATCTTATACTAACATGTATAAGTTCAGAATATACATTTATGTTATAAAGAATTAACTGTTAAGTGTTTTATATTTATGATAATATGTTCATTCCAGATCTGTAAATATTATAGTTTCTAAATTATTATTACAATGTAATTAGATAATATAATAATAAGTAGTTTTTTTGTGTTTTTTTACCAAATCCAAATTTACAGTCATCAATCCCTACAATACAAATAAATTTAATTTAAACCGCAGACTACCTAATAGTGCCTACTTATATAGTTGGTCTGCACTTAAACAAACCATTGTATAATATACAGGGTGGTCCGAACTGTATTCCGGAAACTTCGGCAGCATATTCTGCAGATAAAAATAAGTAAAAAAGTTCATATAAATTTAGGTGTAGAAGTGTTTTTAGTGTATTTTTTTTTCTAGTGTATTTTTATTTCGATTTTTTCCAAATAATTTGTGAACTAACATCAATATTTAGATGAAAAATGGTGTCTGGAAGTTTTTTTGACATGAGAAATTGGATTTTGATGTCAATATGACTCCTATTTGTAGGGGGCGTCACCTACATGTGTTTTAACTGGTTAGAAGAGTACCTAATAACTTTTCGTCCCTGTACAAAACTACTGAGTAAAAAAATACATTTACGCTTTATGATAAAAATAATGACATGTATCGACTATTTCCATTCTAAATATCTTAAGAACGGTTGCTCGTAGCAGAATTTACCAAGAGACATTTTTTACGTAAAAACTCGCGGAAATGTATATTGTTTTACTCAGTAGTTTTATAAAGTACGGACAAAAAGTTATTACTCTTCAAAACAGTTAAAACACAATTAGGTGGCGCCCCCTACAAATACGAGTCATATTGACATCAAAATCAAATTTCTCATATCAAAAAACTCCCGGACGCAAATTTTCATCCGAATATTGACGTTACTTCAGAAATTATTTGGAAAAAATCGAAATAAAAATGAAACTTACACCCTGTATCTCCGAAACTAAGCATTTTAGAACATACATTTATACGAACTTTTTTACTTATTTTTATCTGCAGAATATGCTGCCGAAGTTTCTGGAATACAGTTCGGGCCACCCTGTATAAACAAAATCCAAGCTTATAGATATGTGTTCTATTTAAAATCTGACAATTTTGGGAAATGCCATTTCATTTTTCCTATTTAAAACATCTTGATATACAGGGTGGTCCGAATTGTATTCCGGAAACTTTGGCAGCATATTCTGCAGATAAAAATATGTAAAAAAGTTCGTATAAATGTATGTCCTAAAATACTTAGTTTCGGAGATACAGGGTGGCAGAAGTTTAATTTTTATTTCGATTTTTTCCAATTAACTTCTGGAGTAACGTCAATATTTGGATGAAAATTGGTGTCTGAGAGTTTTTTGATATGAGAAATTTGATTTTGATGTCAATATGACTCCTACTGTCAATATGACTCCTACATATTTTTTAACTGGTTTGAAGAGTAATAACTTTTCGTCCGTACCTGTATAAAACTACTCAGTAAAAAATATACATTTACGACGTTTTTTACGTGAAAAAGGTCTCTTGGTAAAAATCGCTACGAGTAATGGCTTTCGAGATATTTTAAATCAAAATTATCAATAGGTACCTGTCATCATTGACATAAATTAAACATGTTGACTAAATAGTTATTAGACTGAAATCATAAATTTGAAATGTTTTTGAGCCAAAAGTTCAACAGAAACAATTTTATCATCATTTTTTGCAGACAAAATTATGATTAATTTAAAAAAATAAAAATTTCCCAAATTTATTATTTCAGTGAAATAATATTGACTATCTACTCAATGTGTTTATTTTTCGTCAATAATGACATGTATTGACTTTCCATTCTCAAATATCCTAAGAACGGTTGCTCGTAGCGATTTTTACAAAGAGATATTTTTTACGTAAAAAGTCACAGAGATGTATATTTTTTCACTCGGTAGTTTTATACAGGTACGTACAAAAAGTTATTACGCTTCAAAACAGTTAAAACACATGTAGGAGGCGCCCTCTACTAATAGGAGTCATATTGACATCAAAATCCCAAATTTTTCATGTCAAAAAACTCCCACACACCAATTTTTATCCAAATATTGACGTTACTTCAAAAATTATTTAGAAACAATCGAAATAAAAATGAAACTTCGTATCTCTGACACCCCGTATCTCTGAATCTAAGCATTATAAGACATACATTTATACGAACTTTTTTACTTATTTTTATCTTCAGAATATGCTGCCGAAGTTTCCGGAATACAATTCGGACCACCCTGTATACTTGGTGAGTCTTAAATAAGTGCAAATATTTTCAGGACTGGTAGATCTCGATAAAAAGACCCAACCGTTTTTTCAATAAGTCCAAAATAACTGAGGTATTTCACTTTGAAAATTTAAAAATAAAAAGATTTCGATTAAATTTTGAGAACTGGATCTTTTCTGGGTTTTCTTTCTTGTAAATTTAATCTACTACCTACTACAAAGCTACTACCTTTGTTGCCATATTATCAAGATATGTTTTTAACTAACTACAAATTAAAAAAAAAATCAAAATCCAGATTTAACAAAAATTTGGCGAAAAAAACATCGTATTCCCTCCTCGTGTTGCTAGGGTCAAAATATACTACCCCTAACAATAATTGCACTTATTTAAGACTCACCCTGTATAGAGGGTGGCGCCTCGCGTGGGCTCCAAGCAGAACGACAGATTGTATTGAAATTGCATTTTGTGAGAAATATTAAGTTATTTTAGAGCATTTTTTAAAAATAGTTCTATAGGGTGTACCCAAAGCTCTGCCGAAAGAAAACACATTAAAGTTGTGTTTTTTGTAATGGAAGATCCTATATACAGGGTGGTCCGAACTGTATTCCGGAAACTTCGGCAGCACATTCTGCAGATAAAAATAAGTAAAAAAGTTCGTATAAGTGTATGTCCTAAAATGCTTAATTTCCGAGATATAGGGTGTAGAAATTTCATTTTTATTTCGTTTTTTTCCAAATAATTTTTGAAGTAGCGTCAATATGTGGATGAAAATTGGTGTCTGGGAGTTTTTTGGCATGATAAATTTGATTTTGATGTCAATATGACTCCTATTTGCAGGGGGCGCCACCTACATGTGTTTTAACTGTTTCGAAGGGTAATAACCATGTAATAACTTTTCGTCCGTACCTGTATAAAACTACTAAGTGAAAAAATATACAATTTCGTGATTTTTTACGTAAATAATATTTCTTGGTAAAAATCGCTACGAGCAACCGTTCTCAAGATATTTACAATGGAAATAGTCAATATATATCATTATTGACTAAAAATAAACCTGTTGAGTAGATAGTTATTTGACTAAAATGATAAATATGGGAACTTTTTTTTTAATTAATATGTACCTAATTATAAATTTTTATTCGAGCAAATCATGACAAAACAGTTACTGTTGAAACTTTTGGCCCAAAAGGTAAATATAGCAATATAGAAAGATAAAAATGGCGATTTTTACCAAGATTCCTTTTTTACGTAAAAAACGTCGCAAATGTATATTTTTTTACTCACTAGTTTTATACAGGTACAGACGAAAAGCTATTACTCTTCAAACCAGTTAAAATATATGTAGGTGGCGCCCTCTACAAGTAGGAGTCATATTGACATCAAAATCAAATTTGTCATATCAAAAAACTCACCAGACACCAATTTCCATCCAAATATTGACATTAATTCAGAAACTATTTGGAAAAAATCGAAATATAATTGAAACTTCTACACCCTGTATAGATACAAAGCATTTTAGGACATACATTTATACGAACTTTTTTACTTATTTTTATCTGCAGAATGTGCTGCCGAAGTTTCCGGAATACAGTTCGGGCCACCCTGTATATAAATTGATTTCCTGATTCTAGGCATTACTTGACGTAATTTGTAAAAGTGAAATCAACGCATTTCAACATTTACAATAAAGAGTACAAAATGCATTCGGAAGTATAAGAAGATATGTTCAAAGAGCTAAAAATAAAATTGAACGAAAACCTTTTCGAACATGTGGTAACCTTTTCGAACATGTAGAGCATTAGGAACTAGTTTGTAGAAGTTGATTTATTTATAATAACTACGATTAATATTATGCATATATTAGATCGTACACTGAGATTTCAAATTCGTAATAAAAAAAAGTTAAAAATAATATCTTTAAATTTCTGACCTGGATATCATTTATTTGAATCTTTTATGAAAAAAAAGCATAAAGTGTGACATATCATTGTACTCAGAAGATCGAGTTCTTTCAAAACCTGAAATAAAAAATGCAGGTCCGTATTATTTAAAAAAAATTAAGTTCGCCTCTGTATCTCACAAATTATCAGCTAGTTTGAAAATCTAAAAATTCTATCAGATAGCCCTAATAAAGTGACTATGAGAATTTGCAATTCGTTTTTTGATTTTCTAAAAAGTAAGGAAAAGAAAAAAAATAATTGGTTTTCAAAAAAATCCGTTTTTTTTTCAAAAAACACAGCAACCTTGAAATTTTCCTTGACATTTTGATGACATTTTGGTGAATATCCCAACGAGCAACTTCGCCCCAATTTAACCGTCTTCGGTTTCCGAGATAGCAACGCTCGTAGCCCGAATTTGTAGCACCCTGTATAAGGTGTTCCATTACAAAAAAACACGACTTTGATGTCTAACTTTTTTTGACAACACCCTGTAGAACCCTATTGTAATTTTAAAAATGCTT